TCGCAACAAATCGCTTATATCAATATTAACATCATGTTGAACGTTTAATTTTTAATATTAAAACAGAAAAAACATGTATCGCCAAAAATATATAATAAATAAACATAATATAGATACCGAGTTTTTAAATTGTAGTAAAAATTTTAAACTCTAATCTTGTCAAAAAGAATTTATTGGAATGAGCAAACAGAAAATGATCAAGGATAATCTAAATTTAAAGAATTAATATAATACTGTGAGTTGTACAATTATTTTTATTCATTTTTTTGTTATTTAAATCGAAATCAGATTTCGAATCATTGTGAATCAGATTATAGCTTATAGCAATTGGAGCGAATCTATTAAAAATAAGAACTGTTTCAGTGTCAGATTATCGTTTATTTAGTGAACAGCATATATAATAAATAATGAAAAGAGCAATGCAATGCTGCTCGTACTCTCTAAATCGCGATCGAGAAGGGAAAATGGTTATTTTTGTTTGTTGAAAAACGTTGGAGAATTGATGCCAATGATCATTTAAAACTTGAAAGTCTGCTAAAAGCGAACAGACAACTGTTTTTGAGTTTTTATTTGTTGATTTCCCTCGATTACAATTCGAAAGTAATGAAGAACTACGTGCAGATCTGGTTTCCTTGTTTATTGCAGCAGTGAATGCTATGTATAGATAATAATGAATAATTCTAAAAGTTTTTTCATTAATTTGCAAATTTATAAACTGTGTTTGTTAAGTTATCAACAATATCAGATAATAGTGGGTTTATTAGCCAATAATGTTCTATTTATTATTAGTTTGAAATACAAATTGTTAGCATCTATATATTAGTATTGTTTTAAATAATCACTATTTGGAAAAAGTTGGTTGTACTTGTTCTAACTTACCAATGATAGAAATTAGGATTATTTCTTTGTGTCCACAAAGATTTTGACTGTTAACTCTAAAGTATCAAATTGTATCTAATTGATACAAAAAGTGTGGATCAAATAAAAAATTGAGTCAAATTTTTGGTATCAATTTAATACTTTTAAGAAAACTGTGAAATAATGGGTATTCAGAAATGACTTGTCAATTAATTATGAAAGAAGATTTCGATTAATTTTTTTGGTATAGTTTTCTATACATGTTTAAGTTTATCTGCTGAAACTTATGAGTTAGATTTGGGAAACAAATTATTAATGAAAAATGAAGAAAAGGAAAACGAAATCTTAGCCGACTCTGAGTATAAAAATGAGGTTGGAGTAGTGCACGTTTTTAAAAACGAAAATTAACTTACTTTTCTTTTATGTGACAGTTGTCCTCGAATAACTTGAATGACTTGAATTTATAGCCAAAATAAAGTATATTATTTTGGCATTACTTTTTTTATCATGGCATTACTTTTTTGTTTCCGTTTTTAAAATCGTTGCAGACTTCAAACTCATATACCATATATACCACTTTATTTATGTCCCAAAAAGAATTTATTAAACAGAGCTGTTAAAAATTATGGTTTGTTTTTTAAAATACCAAAAAAGATTAAATTAATTTTATAATATAGAAGCAACAAAGAATGGCAACTTTTATTTTTTTTAAAAAACTATTTCACCGAACATGTTGAAAAAAATGAATTACTATACCTTATTCATAATTAACAGAGTCTTTATATTTATTGGTTTTTTTTTATAAGTTTTTTATCTTTTAAATTTAAAACTTTAAACAAGAGTACTAGTAGAAGGAGAAAGAATTTAATTTCCAACAATTTAAACAAATAAAGGTTGCATTTGAATAAAAATTACAATTGTTTGTCAAGAAATATTTGTTAAATATTGGATTATGTTACTTAAATTATTTCTTATTGATAGAAAATTGTAATTTTTATTCAAATGCAACTTTTAGTTGTTTAAAGTGTTGAAAATTTTATTCTTTATACTTCCACTAAATCGAATTTAAAATTTATTAATTATTTTCATGTAAAATTTTGATTTAAATCATGATTGAAATGGAAACATGTATTTAATTTTTAAATCCTATGATTCAACTAATAAAAGTCATTGCTATTAAACAAATAATAGTTCGAAGTTAAAGCAATCAAAAATGCTAATTTGATGGGCCGAATTTAAAAATATGGAATTTCAAATTTGCTATGATATTTCATTTCTGTGACAAAAAAGTAGAAATTTTCTTGACGAAACGGTTAGCATGTAACTATAAAATTGACTATAAAATTAACACTTTTAAAGACCGTAGTTTTATAACTTATAAACTTTTATTGCATGAATAAATATATGTTTCAGAATATCAAAAAGACATATTTTCACGCATATCAACAGTAATTTTTCATAATTATCCGGCAAATCGTATAAATTCTTGCTTTGAAACAAAAGGAAATAAATAAGTTTTCTTTCATGAAGAAAGAGTAAAAAAGAAAACAGATAAGAAATTTTAGAAAATATATATCAAAGTTAATTATCCAAAAGCTTTAAATTTGAAATTTCTTATTAATAAACACCACTATTAGTGACAAATAAAATTATTGAAACTTATTTTAATGATGGGACATCGAAAGAAAAACATCGACATCGAAAATTCATAACATCTATGTTTCGATGATGATAATAATAACATTTGAAGTAGATTTTAAAAAGATTTAAGATAAAATGGTAATGAAAAAAATTGAATTCTATCAGTTAAATAATATTAATTAATATATTAAGACAGATATAGCATTTTAGGTCCGTAAATTTGCTTCAAGTCTGTAAAAGTCCGTTTTTTGAAAGAAGAGGGACAAAAAGTTCGTAAATTGTACGATATAATTTGGAGAATTTTAGAGAAATTACAAATGATTGTAGAAATTCAATTATTTTCAAAAGTAATAAAATTCTTCGCAGAAATTCAATTATGTTCAAAAATTTAAAAAAATTCTCGTCAAAATTTCAATTATTTTTAGAAATAATAAAATTCTTCTTCGAAATTCAATTATTTTCAAAAATTTTCCTCAATTCAATGATTTTGAATATTTGCTATTTTAATAAAATTTTCCAAAAAAAATTCAATCATTTAAAAATTTTTTAATAAAATTCAACTCAAGCATTTAATTATTTTCATTAAATAATAAAAATTTCACAAGAATTCAATTATTTTCATAAATAATAATATTTTTACAGGGATTCAATTATTTTCGTAAATAAAATTCTTTTTAGTAATTCAATTATTTTTATAAATAATAAAACTCAATGCTGAATTTTAATACAATTTTAATGGAATTCCTAGAAAAATGTAATTATTCTTAAAACTGTTATTAAAATTCGTCAAAGGAATTCAATTATTTAAAAATTTGTTGATAAAATTCTTTATGAGAATTCAATTATTTAATAAATTGAAAATAAATTTCACTTCAAATTTTAGATAAAAATTAAATATTAAAAGCATTAAAGTGTGAATTTTTAGAAAAAAAATTGAATTTTGAAAAGGTTTCATATTAAAATCTTTAAAAATTTTAATTTCGCATTCTTTTAACTAACATTCTGTAGAGAAATTAATTTTTTTGAAAAAGTTTGTTTCAATTTTACTCGAAATTATTTTTTTGAAAATTTTATTTTCTAATATATGTAATTGAAGAATTTCCGAATAATTGAAAGTAAAATTGAATTGTAAACAAATGAATTTGAAAATTCTCAAAGAACTTTTTCAAAAATTATTAAAAATAATGGATTTATAAAAGAATTTTAGTTAAAAACACTTTGAAAAAAGTAATTTTTTGAGAAATTACAAAATATTGCAGAAATTCAATTATATTTTTGTATTTAAATAAATGAATTCTATATGTAGAATTTTCTAATAAAAATTGATTTAAAAATGAATTCATTAAAATTTTAGCTAATAATTAAATATTAAAAGAAATATAGCGTGAATTTTTAAGAAATAATTGAACTTTGAAATTAATTTTTTTGAAAAAGTTTAATTGGATTTATTTCTACATTATTTGAAGTTTTTATTTTCTAATATTTAAATTTAATTGAATAATTTACGAATAATTGAAATTTCGTAAAATTGAATATTGTAAACAAATGAATTTGAGAATTGTCAAAGAACTTTTTCGAAAATTATTAAAAATAGTTGATTTAGAAGAATTTTAGTTACAAATTCTTGAAAATAATAATTTAATTGAAATGGCGAAAATAATTTTGAAGTGAGTACGATATTTTTATAATATAAAATAATGATTTTATCACTCGGTCATCTTTAATTATTATAAAACGTGAAGAGATTGATTAAACTCCGAGTTGAAGACTCGGAATGATCGATATCTTTATGTTTTATAGTTATGAAAAAATTTAGTTTATAGTTAACCAATTTTTACCAATTTTAACCAATTTTTAGTAGAGTTTCACTTTATTATATCACTGTTAACTTGAAAGTATCAAATAGTAAAGATTTGTTACCAAAAATATGGATCAAATCATAAATTGATTCAAACTTTTGGCATCAATTTGATCTACATTTGTATCAAGTTGATACTTTTAAGAAAACTTTAATTTGGTTTCAGTAAAAATTAATTAAAACTAGGAAACAATTTTAATAATTTAGATTAAGGTATGACATTTCTAATTCAGATTTAATGAGTGCTTATTGGAATAATATACATATTGCATATCGTAAAAAATTGGTTTATTATGTACAAACGTTTTAAAATTCAGCTTAGTCTTAATATTATTCCGGGAGTGTAATGTAATACTATGTCATTATAGACAGAATCTTAAAAATTTACATATACTATTTTTTTTGAAAAATAATTTTCTAATAATGGCGGTACCTCGAGAAAGAAATTGCTTTTTATGTTTAAAACAATAAAGCTTAAATGACCAAATGAATTCAGTAAATGATGCTCATGCAGTCAGATAACTATCCCTCTAGCAGTTTATTCCTGGAAACGTCATTTCGAACCAGTGACATCATACAACAGCACTTGAAATATAGTGGGGGGATCTACAGTGTCATGAATCTACCTTACTTTCTTATTAGTGTCGGTTCGCGTTTCAACTTATGAGGATCATTCAGTTCTTCCGTACAAACCAAACTCAATTCAAAATTAATCAATCTCAATTATTAATTTTCTTTCCACGCGAGTCTAAATTTCCACTTAAGGAAGCGTGGTTCATTGGAAAATTAATTATTTATCGAAAAATAAATTTATAAAATAAATAATAAAAATTTGTAAATTTTTAAATTTATCGAGTCAGTGATCTATTTATTATTTTCATTTTAAAAAAATTGTGAGAATAATTTCGAATTTTTGATTACAAATTATATCGTTAGTGATAATTGTGTTGTGTGCAAATTCAGCGTGAAGAATTTCTCAATTTGTAGTAAGCCTATAAATTTTTTTTGGTGGAATAATGAAGCCGAAAAAGAATGAAGGCTTTATAATGAGTGAAAAAAATGGGGTCATGAGCGATCCCGGCCCCGAGACACATCTTAAACAACAGAAGCAAATAAAAAGGGGTGAGGAGATGAAATTTTAATTAGATTATGTATTTAGTGGCCGAAGGGTTTTTAATTGATTACTCAGACCCACATGCGCAACACACCCGGAAATCAAAAGACAATTTTATATTTACAACTTCTTTTAATTTTACGACTGAAAAATAAATTAATTATTTGTTACAGAGTACAAATTTCTAAAAAAAATCTTGATTAACAGAACTTTTTCGTCACCTTGAATTTAAAAAATCATTTTTTTTTTGTCTTTATCGGTACAAAAATCTCATAAGTAAGGAAATTTTATTCTTTTCCGAACTAGGTCCTGCCTGAATTTTTTCGGATAAATCGAGGTTCCACCACTAGATTTCAAAAATATTAAAAATTTATAAAATAACTGTAGTTTTTCATTAATTAACTTGGATTATGATTAGAATTTTATTTAAACCCCCGTACCCTTGAAAGTATCACATGCTTTATGGATGACTCCTTATAGTTGATTATATAAGAATAAGAGCAAAAGTGAGTGTCGGGCAAAAATTATTATTGACGTGTCAATTATGACAATCTTTATTTTCGAGTGCCAAAGATAAGGTATGGCAGAGGTATTCATGAACCGCGCATAGCACGATAAAGAGTTAACCACAAAAAAGACGGTTCCATTACTTGCATAAAATCATTGAGGTTTCTATAATGTAACTTTATAGTAATGTCTATTTTTAAATCCTGCAAATTATAAATCCGGATTTATGACCACTAACAATTATCTCAGTCAGCACAAGAACATGATTAATTATTAACTTTTTACGATTTTTATTTTCTTGCTCTCGTAAAATAGGAAAAAAATTTTAAATTATTGTTTTTAAATATAATTTTGAATATTTAAGAAATGCAATTTTGTAAAATTATATGTTTTATGTAATATTTGAATTTTTTTACTAAAAAATTTTATCTTTTAAACTATGTAGGTACCTGCATGTGGTACAAAAACAAGTATTTTTTTTCTTTTTATTTAGTTATTTTATTTATTACTTTTTATTATAATTTTATTGTTTATTATTTTTATATAAGTTATTACATATAAGTTTTAATTTCATTGTTCATTGTTTATCAGTTTATTACTTTGATTATTTCTTTGAAACAATTTTGAGGCATATTTATATCTTATGAAACATGTCTGCGCATATATTTAGAAAAAAAATGTAAAAGTAATTATATGAAAACAATAAAATACGGTTTTAAGGACAAATAAATTCTTAAGTTTTTATAATAATATGAATAAACATTTAGTGATTTAATTGTTAAATTAAGAATATTAGTATGAGAAACAGTAATAGAGAAGTCAGGGATTTTTATTAAAAGTACTGGAAAATATTTAAGAATTCATAAGAAAATTCAGAATTTTTGTGTCTTTTTTGTTTGCCTCATAATCTATAAAATTACCACGAATTCTAACATAAATCCTTTAATTTTTCATATTTTTTTAAAAAACTATCATAAAAATATTACTTAGAAGTTATTCAATGAAGAATTTTAATTAAATAAACATTAATTTAATTTCAAAATGGTGCGTTTACAATTTTCATTAACAGATGAACTTCAAAGATGAGTTTCAATTTGAAATTTTATAAAACTTCAATTTTCAATGAATTTTCAATTTTCAATAAAATTTTAATAATTCAAATTCTTCTCAAATTAGTTACATTTAAAAAAAAGTATTTTTCATTAATCATTAAAATTAATGGATTTATAGAATGAAGAATAGTTTAGTTAAAAACACTTAAAAAATTAAATTTTGGAGAAGCTACAAATGATTACAGAAGTTTAATTATTGTTAAAAGTAATAAAATTCTTCGCAGAAATTGAATTTGTTCAAAAATTGAAAAAAATTCTCGACAAAATTTCAATTTTCTTTATAAATAATAAAATTCAATTTTTCAAAAATTTTTTATAAAATTCTTAGTAAAATTTAAATTATTTTCAAAAATTTTCTTTAATTCAATGATTTTCAATTTTTTTCATAAAATTCTCAAAAAGAATTCAATTATTTTAAAAAAATTTTGATAAAATTATAACGCAAACATTTCATTATTTTCATAAATAATAAAAATTTCACAGGAATTCAATAAATTACTAATTTTTTATTAATTTCTTCACAACAATTCAATTATTTTCGGAAATAATAAAACTTTGTACAGGGATTCAATTATTTTCAAAAGTAATAAAATTCTTCGCAAAAATTCAATTATGTTCAAAAATTTTTAAAAATTCTCGTCAAAATTTCAATTATTTTTAGAAATAATAAAATTCTTCTTCGAAATTAAATTATTTCCACAAATTTTAATAAGATTCTTGGAAAAAATTTCAATTATTTTCACAAATTTTAATAAAATTCTTGGACTAAATTTCAATTATTTTCAAAAATTTTCCTCAATTTAATAATTTTTAATATTTCCATTATTTTAATAAAATTTTTCAAAAGAATTCAATTATTTAAAAAAAAATTGATAAAATTATACACAGGCATTTTAATATTTTTATAAATAATTAAAATTTCACAGGAATTCAATTATTTACTATTTTTTTTATAAATTTCTTCGCAATAATTCAATTATTATCATAAATAATTAAACTTTGTAAAGGGATTAAATTATTTTTATAAATAATAAAATACTCATCGCAGAATTTCAATTATTTTTAAAACAATTTAATTTCAATCCAATTTTTTGAAAAATCTACTTAGAAAATTAAAAATTTTATCAAAATCCGTCGAAAGAATTCAATTATTAAAAAAGATGTTGACAAAATTCTTAATGAGAATTCAATTTTAAGAAACATTTAATTATTTGCAATAAATTATTTATTTTCGTATCTGTTTAAATAATTGAATTCTCGTAAAATTTTCGAATAAAAATTGATTTAAAAATGAATTTCAGTTAAATTTTTAGTTAATAATTGAATATTAAAAGCTTTAAATATCATGAATTTTTAGAAATAAAATTGAATTTCGAAAAGGTTTCGAATTCAAATCTTTAAAATTTTGAATTTTTCATACTTTTAAACAATAATTCTGTAGAATTTATTTTTTTGAAAAAGTTTAATTGAATTTTGTTTTAAAATTATTTGATGTTTTTATTCTACAATAAAAGTTTAATTAAAGAATTTCCTAATAATCGAAATTTCGTAAAATTGAATTGTGAACGAATGCGGATTTGAAAATTCTCAAAGAACTTTTTCAGAAATTATTAAAAATAATTGATTTAAAGAAGAATTTTAGCTAAAAATTGTAGAAAATAATAATTGAATTGAAATAATGGAAATAATTTTGAAGAAGTATAATATTCTTATAATATAAAATAATGATTTTAATTACTTGGTCATCTTTAATTATTATAAATCATTGAATTTCAAAAAAGTTTGAATTTGAAGAAAAGTTTAAAGGGGAAAAAAAGTCAAAATTTTGTCTGGAAATGAGGGAAAAGTTAGGGAAAACCAAAATAAAATTTTTGTGACAACCCTGTTTCAGCTGCTGATTAAAATTTAAAATATTTAAAATTTATTTATATTTACAGATTTAATATAAAGTGATAAAAAGAGTTATGATTTAAGAAAAGGTAGAAGATATTTTAAGATTTTAACTTTTTCTCCGGTTTTGAAAGTTTAATTTCAAAGGAATTCTATTTAACAACAGGATTTAAAAATCGCATAATACGAAAAGCCGTTCCTGAATGCAAAATAGCGTTGACGAAATTTTTGTTATCGTTGTGCGGCAATTATTTGTGAGACATTCTATTATCTTTTTTTTTTAAAAAAGCAACAGAGTCAATAACTATGTAACACGTACCGGCGTATTATGTAATCGATGAATGACGACTACCGCTTCCTTGCCCAGTGACTGATTAACATAAATGTAAGCGAAATTTATTCCTCTCGAAACAAGCGGAGCCCAAAACCTGTTACATTGGTATATTAGGACGGATATTATCATCATCATATTGCGACTATTGAAATAGTATAATGATCCATTGTTTCCGATTTGGGTTTTTCTCGTTTTCCTCTTCTCTGGCATGGCGCCACCCAGACTAAAGGCGACACATTTTATACTATTAGTGCGTGGAAATATAGTGGAAATATAGTGATGGAAGCTAGTCTAGTAGCAATTAGTCGAATTTGTATAAAGACTTTACTTCTAAACATATATATTCATTTACAGTGTCTCCTTCTCTCTCGAACTGCATAGAGCTTTGGGTCGTCACGTTTGACCCCACTTTGCGACATCCTATTTAACCCACTTTATGAATCACATTAACATATCGCACGAATACCACTTGGGGCATTGACAAAACGCCTACTAGGATCTCTGTCTCGTTCTAGAGTTTCATAGCTATTTATCGGATAGATTTTCTCTCAGTTCATGCTACTACTGTTAAGAGATTGCAATCGATAAGATTAGTGCTGAAGATTGCTTCGTTTAAGAGAATCGAACAAGTTTCGTACGTTTATCGCTTCTAATGCTATCAAATTCTTGAAAATGCCGAGAAGTTATTGATGCTCCTAAAAATTTATTTATTTCTTTTCAATCAATTATCAATTATTTTTTTAAATTAATATTACGTTACCTATTAAAGAATTTATTTTATTAATTAAATTAAAAGTTAATTTTAATTTTAAAAAATTAAAGAATCTTATTTTATTTATTTTATTCCATGTATACCTAGAAGTAAGTAAGTTAAAATTACATTAAATAAGATTAATTAAATTAATTTAAAATTACTACTATTTCAGTTTTTTTTATTTCCACTACTTTAAATTCGCTAATACTAGTCAATAACTAATCAAAAAACTATTCACAAAAATTATGATCAAATTCCACATACAGGAATTTAATTAATATTTAGAACAACATTTTCAAAAAAATGTCGAAAAAATCAATTATTTAACAACACTTTTATACAATTCTTCGCAATAATTCAATTACTTTTACTAATAATAACGTTTTTCATAATAAATCAATTATTTTCAAT